CGATATTCTATCTTTTTTCTTTTACTTAAAATTATTATTCTGGATTATTGTCGAGGGATTAAGTTTCCATCGACACTTGAATATTTCATCGAGTTACATCGGATTATCGTGGCTCGATAAGACAAAGGAGAATAAAGCAGCGGAAACATTAGCTCCCATGATATTATAACGAGGTTATAAATTAAAGGATTGAATAATGAAGGCGATTAAAGCAATAATGCCTTACCAGTCCAGCGTTCTACGATTTTCAATAGAGATTGGGAGAGGATAAAATATATATACATTTCACTTGGAGATATTTCTTAAATTCGTTATTCGAGTTTACTTATCAATTGAATTTCCTTTTTAAATTAATCGAGTTTACGCGATACGGAAAAATTGACAAAGTTAACGAAATAAACTCTTTGAAAGGTTTAAAAAAAAAGAAGATACAATTATTCGTTATTATCAGTGCTGCTCGAATATTACAATCTCGAGCTCGAAATAGCGCGAATCTTGGAACGGTGTCGTTAAGAACCGAAACTCGGAAGTCGTGAACGTGGTGAAACGACCGTGTTCCTCCCGCGACTTCCGGCCCACGAATACCTCCGGCTCGCTTTGACATGTTTAATGCAACGGATGGTGTGCATTCGGGCTCGATGCAACCGTGGTTGCATCGCATAAATATTTAAGTTGGCGACGTTGCGTATAAATGATACAACTATTCCATTATCGGAAACAGGCGGTCGTGGCCCAAGGAACATCGGGGGACGTGGATCACAAGATGAGACGACACGCGTGAATAATTCATGAATAAGAGTCTGGAGCCTGCTTTTTGAACTTGCCACGACTCTTGCTACTTATAACGGTTGCTCCCCCTTTAATTACAATTTCGCCATGGAAACTGGGCAAATCACGTGGCGAAGCAAACCCCGGACAGGATGGTGGAAACTGGAAGGGGAGAAGGATATTAAGAGGGACATTATCTCGATGGAACGTAAGATCAATAGGGATTCGATTAACTCGTGGCAAGAGGGTGGGAAGAAGGGCTTAATGTGCCATCCAAAATTTGTATCGATAATATTCCATTTTTGTTCGCTATCATTCTTTCGATTATGATATATTTTCAATATAATTTTACCACGATACTTTTCGTACACAATCGCAATAATATTACAAATATTTATCAATATCGATAATATTATTAAATCCTTATATAGATTTTTTAAAAAGGAACTACGTACACTTCTCGTGCAATTGTAAAAAAAAAAAAAAAAAATCTTCACGAACTCCTTTTAAGGGAGATTCGCCGTAAAAGCAATACCTTTCGAATCCTTCAATCGAGAAAGTTCCCGAGCACTAAAAAATACTCGACGAATTTGTCGAAATCTTCTCGTCCCCTCGATTGCTTCGTCTCGATACTTGTTGAACGTGTCTGTCGCGTGAAACAGGATACGGTGGAGCGTAGGTGGAGCCTCGAAGGAAATTAGATCAGCGTGGAGGATTGAAGGATCCTCTTGCTCCGCCGGAGACAGTCGGAAAGGCGTGCGTCTCCGGAAAATGCATTTCGAACAGAAGGGGAGAGCCCATTCGATTTCAAAGCGGTATCGATCGCGACTACCAGAACAGAGCTCCTCTCTCTCTCTCTCTCTCTCTCTCTCTTCTTCTTCTTCGTTCGTTCGTTCGTTCGTTC